CTTGAAATCTTCCCTCAAACCACACTTTCTGCACTGCACACAATGCCTGCTACACCGGAGGCCACTACAGTATTACTATCCTCATACGACAGTGGTAAAACTTTAAAACTGCTGGCAACACACCCAGATGGCTCATGCATCCTTGCACACACCACCACACTGCTGCTGATCCTAATTCTCTTCACAGCATATTATGTCCTTCTTAAAAAGCACACAAAGGCTGGTGACTTTGTCTTGTATATTTGCACTGCCCTGCCTGAGATACCTGGGAAAAACTGTAAATAATAAATGCATTTCCAGAAAGTTAAAAAGCCCATGCACAACTATCCTCAGAGAGAAAAGATTTTTTCCCACAGAGGTGAGTCCCAAATTCCAATCTACTCCCTCCCTTTTCACTTACTTGGAAATTAAATTTTTTTTCTGAATCTTCTACCAGTATGAGAAGATCTCCAAGAAGCAATTAAAATGCAGCATGGAAAGTCCTGCCTGACAATCACACTGCAGGACTCCTTTAGGAAAGAAATAAGACCAGGGTTCTGGGGACAAGAAATTCTTATTTATAACTTATATGATGCCCTGTGTGTAAAGATAAAAAATAAGTAACTCCTATGGACAATCTCCTCCCTTCTGTCTTCCTGCATATGGCAATCTGAAGCAGCTGCTGCTGCCCTTCTGTGTCATGACAACGATTCCTCATGACTTTATTCAGCCAAAGGCAGTGAATACATAAATATTTTGTATACAAGGTAAGTCTTGGGTTAGCAGAAAGGGATATTGGTCCAAATTGTCCTCCATTGTAAGGCACTCAGTTTTGATAGCTTTAAACACAAACGGTATTTATCTGTTTATTGGACAGGAAAAACATGTCTGATGAGAACCTAGAAAGATTTAATATTCTAATATAGATGCCATTTCTTACTGTTGTCAACCATAGCACTTGAATAAATATTATACCTCCTTCCTTCAAGAATTCACAGCAGGGTTATTTCTGGCAATTGAAACAGCTTCCAGTGAGATACATTCTGCTGTTGGTTTCTTCAAGGAGTTCAGTGCATGACCCCATTTTAAGATCTCTGGAATGGCTGTTTAGCAACTCAGAGGATCAGGTCAATTGGTTTAAACCTTGTCTGGGTCCCAAGACTGAACTGGAGCGGCACTGACAGGCAGCACCATTAGCAGTTACTGCTGCCATCTATGGGTAGGATCATTTTGGCTTTATTCCTCAGCGATTCTTTCTTCATTACAAACAATATACCTGTTCTCATGCGTAAACAAATATAATGGAAGAAATTACATACTCATCACTTATTTCTCCTCTAAAAAGAAAACAAAATAACAGAGGAGGGACTTCACCTATGTCTCCCCCTGAAAAGAATGGGAGAAGATTTTGAACACTTAAAATTATTATCTGTTGTAGACAAGGAAAACAATGGCATAACTTTATTTTCCACCTTCAGTATGCTGGGTGCTGCCTTTGCTTTAAAACCACTGGGGCACACTCATCCTTGATATAACAGCACTGAAATTACTCAAAATGCACCCTATCATTTGTATATTCACTTGAAAGCTGTTAGAGCCAGTTTCTTTTTAGTCACCTGCAACAAAAAAGACACTTCACTCCCTTTCATTTTCCTGTTTACACAAGGATCCCAGCTTGAATATGAATTCAACATTACTGTATTGAAGTGACCAGAATGGTATTTTGCATTTGAAATTACATTATACTCAAAGGTCAATGAAACTTTCTGTATGAACCACTGAAAATATCCTGCTTGATACACCTTTGGGTTACATTTGCTCTCCTTGCAGCCATAGCACATTGGTGGGTCAACTAATGTCCCAGAGCTCATTTTACCCTCCGTCACTTTTCACCTAAAAGTACAGCAGATATTGTAATTAGTCCTTGTTTTGCACTCTGCATTACTTTGCCATTTCTGTTACCCCAGTTTTTAAGGTCATTCACCACTTCTTAATCTTTCTCTGCAGAACTCACTGTTACAACCAAGGGGCTTATAACTCTGCAGATCAGTGAACACTGTGTGCCTGCAGGGATCAAGTTTTCAGGACACTAAGCATTTGTTTCATTTACTGTCTTTAGGCAGGACCTAATGGCTTTCAAGGGGCAACAGCTAGATTAAAGCCAAGCATTAAGCAACTTAGAATCATGAGATAGCAGAAAGTTGTTTGTCCTGCCCTCTCCTGGCTTGCTACTACACTATTTGTTCCTCTTCATGCAGAAATTAGTCCCCGATGCCCAGTTACTGAAATAGATAGCTCTGAAGCTACTGCAGCCTACTAAAGGGGCTTCCAGACCTCAGTGAATCTACCTACTGGTTAGTACATAACAATCTTTGACATGGAAAAGGTCCAAATGGGATCTGGAAGATCATAGAATCACGAAATGGCTTGGGTTGAAAGGGACCTTAAAGGCCATCTAGTTCCAATCCATGGGCAGGGACACCTTCCATCAGGCTGCTCAAAGCCCCATCCAACATGTCCTTGAACGCTTCCAGGGATGGGGCATCCGCAGCTTCTATGGGCAATCTGTTCCAGTGTCTCAACACCCTCACAGTAGGGAATTTCTTCCTAATATCTAATCTAAACCAACCTTCTTTCAAGTTTACAGCCATTACCCCTTGTCCTGTCACTACATGTCCTTGTAAATAGACTCTCTTCATCTTTCTTGTAGGCCTCCTTTAGGTACTTGAAGGTGCTATAAGGTCTCACTGGAGCCTTCTCTTCTCCAGGCTGAACAATCCCAATTCTCTCAGACTGTTCTGTAGGTGGACTGATCCAGCCCTATGATCATGTTCATGGCTCTCCTCTGGACTCACTCCAACAAGTCCATGTCCTTCTTATGTTTAGGGCCCTTGAGCTGGATGCAGTACTACAGGTGGGGTCTCACAAGAGCTGAGTAGAGGGGGAGAATCACCTCCCTTAACCTGGCAACATTACACTGGAAAGAGAAAAAAAATTAAAAAGTTGATCTCTGACACAAAGATAGAAAATCAGTGGCACTAGGAGATCTCTGTAGCTCATAATGGTGACTTTGCTTTCATTAGAGAAGATGAAAAGGGGCACTGTGTGATAACCAGCATGTGTGGGCGCATTTGACCGTGAATGGGCTGGCTCCAGTTGCAGTTAGAGCCTCCATCTGTACGGCACTTCTTGCACACATTATCTGCCCTTGTGTCCAAACACAGAAGACAACTACAAAATGCAGACTGGCAGATGATATAAAAGAAGACACTTCAGTAGTCATAGTTTTGCCTTTCAATTGCCATAGCAAGTGCAGGACTTTGAAAGGGATCATTGAAGAAAGTATCAAAGAAAATACACTGCACTAGTTTCTGATCATTCATAGATGAAAAGACAACTGCAGGCTCACAAATGTCAGCATTACTGCCATGGTAATGCGAGGCAATGTGCATACAACAGCCAAGCAGATGCAATGCACATTAGATAAGTTTCTGCTTTTACTTGCCATGAGAACAAACATAGCTGTGCAGGGACCAATGTCCCTGAATGTTTATGGTGAAAGTGGCTTGAGAAATGGCTGTTCAGGTAGTCTGAGAATATAATAACATCTTCCTGATATACTGGAGTAATATTTATAAATTATTTTGTAAAAACAGTCATGGCTTCTACTGTTCTGCTTTATCACCACAGCAGCTGGAGGGAGGTGCTGCTGCAGACGCTGGCTTTGTGTAGATGCACTGTCCCAGCTGCAATGACAAGCTGTGCTGCTGTGGCACTGCTATGTCCCATGGTGGGTCACTTACCTTTACATTTATATAGATACACCTGAATGATTCCATCTGTTTTACTGATGTTACTGATTTATTGTAATTATTGATTCTGGTAGGAAGAAGAAAAGGTGTGTTTTTTGGTGGTTTGGGGTTTTTGTGTGTATGTGACTATGTATTTAACAGAAAAAATCAACTTGCTCCAAAATAAATGCTTCCTGGAGAAAACATCAGTGGGATGAACTGATTTCTTCTCCTATTAATTTCCTACAAACATTAAGTACATGTGTCTTAACAACAGCCCATAAGGAAAACATGATTTTTCTTTTATTTTCTGGAAACATGTCTTTTTGGCAGAACCAAACACACAGCACAGTTGATCTATTCTAATGCTTAGGGCAACTGTTCAATGATTAAGGCTCCAGACTCCCAGACTCACTGAGTTGCCCACTGCTGCACATTACTTAGTTAATAACTTTGAGCCCTGAAATCTAATTCCCACTTCAGAGCAACAGGTTTTGTCCCAAACTGTTTGTGTCTGGTTTAGCAGTTTAGGGGTTACAATGGTAGTGCTCGGCTGATGGTTGGACTTGATGATCTTAAAGGTCTCTTCCAACCTTGATGATTCTATGAAATGCGCTTTTCTCTGCTGAAAGTCTGTCTTTGTCCGAGGGAAGAGAATTGTTACTCAGGAAAGAGTCAGGGGTCAGATAGGAGGCAGCGGATCATTCCTGTCCTGCAGCACTGGGACAAACCTCCCTGCCAAAATGCTCTATTTTTTTCCCCTTAAATTAGGGATGGGAGTAGCCCAGCAGAGCCAGTGCCATTCCTGGCTAACTCCTGGCAGCCCAGCACACCACAGGGCAGCGGGCACCAAGGAGAGGACCCGGGGCAACGGCCTTAAACCAAGACAGGGGAGATTCAGATTAGATACTAGAAAAAAATTTTCACTTTTAGGGTGGTCAGGCATTGGAATAGGCTGCCCAGGGAGGCAGTGCAGCCACCATCCCTGGAGGTGTTTAAGAGGCGCCGGGATCTGGCGCTGGGTGATGTGCTTTAGTGGTTTAGGGGTTACAGTGGTAGTGCTGGGTTGACGGTTAGACTGCATGATTGTAAAGGTCTCCTCCGACCTTGACGATCCCGCGATTCTATGATTATGCGGCCAGGAGAGTCTCCGCCTCCGCCGTGCCGCGTCCGCACTGCCCTCGCAAGCACCGTCCCCCAGAGGCCCGGCCCGCCCGCGCCGCTCTTCTCGCCGCGGCCGCCGCGTGAGCCATAGAATTAATCGTCGTGGCTCGCGGCGTCAGCGGCCGTGTTTCGCTACGAGCCGGAGACGGAAGCGGGACGGCGCCTGTGGCGGAAGCGAGGCGCCGGGGCGGCGTGTGCGCAGCGATGGCATCCCAGTAGCGGCGGCCTTCCCTCCCCCGCCCTTTTCCGTGGTCGGGACCGGGCGGCGCGGCCATGGCCGGGGGCCAGGCGGCCACGGCCGCGAGCGGCGGGAGGCGCGCGCTGCTCCTACTGCTGCTGCGGCCGCGACCGCGCGGCCCGGACGGCGCCTCACGTGACCGCGGCGCGACCCCGTCCCCCCCGCGTCGCTGCCTCGGCGACTGTGGGCGCCCGCCCGCAGCGCCCCCGGGCCCCGGCGGCGGCGCCGTGTGGGGAAGGGGCGGCGGCGGCAGCGGCGCGGGGAGCCGGCGGCACCGCGGGGAGAGAGGTGAGAGCTCTGAAATACACCGTCTGAGGGGACAGGGAGGTCGGGCAACGCAGCTGGCGAGGGGGCGGGAGCGCAAGTGCCATGAGGGGCGGCTGGGGGTGCTTAGCCTGGAGAAAAGGAGGAACCCTTATCACTCTCTACAACTGCCTGAAAGGAGGTTTTAACCAGGAGGGGGTCGGTCTCTTCTCCCAGGCAGCAAGCGACACGGCCAAAGGACATAGTCTTAAGCTCTGCCAGGGGAGGTTCAGGCTGGACATCAGGAGAAATTTCTTCTCAGAAAGGGTGATTGGACAGTGGAATGGGCTGCCCAAGGAGGTGGTGGAGTCACCGTCCCTGCAGGTGTTTAAGGAAAGACTGGACTTGGCACTTAGTGCCACGTTCTAGTTGACAGGGTGGTTTTGGGTCAAAGGTTGTACTCGATGATCTCAGAGGTCTTCTCCAACCCAAGTGATTCTGCCTCCTGACGAATCGCCTCATGCCCCACCTCGCATTCGTTCTGTCGGGGTAGTTTATACACCTCCTCTCCCAGTGGAAATTACTCCCTGTCTTAATCTGGCATTCAGTGTTTGGAGTATTATCTGCAAAAACAGTAAATGGCAAATTGTGAGCGATTAGTTTTCGTCTAAAGGGCACGTGATGAAGGTTCGCTTCTTTAACAAAGAACAGTGTGGATTTAACCCTCACAGCTCCCACCAGCCATGGTGATTATGGTAAAGGAACAGATTTAGGACCCTAGTGCTTGGTGGGATTTTTCCTAGAACATTATATTCTTGGAGGGCATCTCAGAAAGGCAGCAGTGGCAAAGTGTTCTGGGCATAGAACTTGTTAGTGGGATGCCTTTTCGCTTCCAAGCAAGCTGTGATAATCTCAACACAAAATATTTTGTCATAAATGAGAAACATTTGGGGTAGTAAGGAAACTCATGGAAAGCAAACACGTTGATTAAGTATTCTTTCTTAAAAAATAACTCAGGTTTACTTTTTTTTTTCAGATGTAAGCATCTCTGCATCACCATCTTTGCAAAGCAAAGGGAATATATCCTTACTGGGAAATAGGAGGCTTTTTTTTGACACTCATGCACTGGTACGCCTCTTGGAAGAAAATGGTAATTTGTTTGAAACAAGTAGCTATTTTTAATGTCATGTCCTGAGTGGTTTTTTACTTTACAAAATTTGTTATTTTTCCTAGACATGCGATGTTACAGCTTGAGTTTTATGGATTTTTGGGGGGCTTTTCTGTATACTGGGTAAGAACATACAGGGTTGTCTTCTCTTCAAAAAGGAAACAGTAAGCTTATACAACTTTGTTTGGAATAATTTATTACCCTACCGGTAGTTAAAAATGCTAAAGAAAAATAAAATTTTAAGAACTGAGAATAAAAAAAACCCCAGAGTTTTCAAGGTAGTGGTTGAAAATGTATTTTTTGGATTCCTGCGTATTTAGGATGTTGCACTTTGAATATGCAACAATGTATCACAATAGGATTGAATATGGATTACTTTGTAAAATGCAGCTTTTAGGATACAACATAGAATACCATATAAAATATGGCTGCTCTTATGCTAAAACATAGATAAGGGAATAGATTATTATGGATTATATTACTGTTGCTGGTGGGAGGGAGGTACCTTAAGGTGAAGTTCAGTACAGCTGAATTGACTTGTAACAGCTCTCCATTCCTGAAAAGGGGAGGTCACCTCTCCAGTTTTTTTTGCTTGATTGGTATTCTGAGATGCTAGTTTAATGAGCTCATGGAACAGCTGAGTGAGCACCAGCTCAAAGTGTCAGGAGGAGGGATAAGGGGAGAGGGAGCCTTTTGGTGGTAGTAAACTATTATATCAGCTCAGCTATTGAAAGCAGCTTCCTCTCAGGTATGATTTCTGATGCTCAACTGCTGGTTACTATGAAACAATCATGCTTTTGCCAGTGTTTCTTTTCATAATGGTTAAATCTTGTTCATGACAATCTTACTCCTACGTTTTCAAAGTGGAAAAGGTGAGAGTGTTTTTAGGGACAGTGTTTTACTATAGTTGCCAATATATTTAGTTTATTCTAATAGGCACTCAGAAGCTGATAGACCTAGAATCAGGGCAGTTGGCTTTGTTTTCAGTTGAGTTTTGTACATCTTCAGTGACACTGAAGTTTTATAGTATAAAGAAGTCAGTACCTGCTTTTCAGGGTCAGAATTTTTGCTCATGGAAGTAGCCACATGTGAGAGATGACGTTCCATAATAACTCTAGAAAGCTCTCAGTGTTTATCCTGCTGATAGTGCTGTACTACAGAAGCAGCCGTACTATGTCACAGACATAATTTTGGGGTGGGGAAACTTGGACGTACTGACTGGTTGTGTTCTTTTGTTAGTGCTGGATCAAGAGGTATATGTTTTATTATCTTCCATAACTGACATTCGTTTTACCTCAGTGCTGAGTATCAGCGAGTGGTATTTCTGTAAACTGTCCAGATTTGTATCTCTCTCTGAATGTTGTTGCATTTTGTTTTGCTCAGGGTTCACTACTCAGCAGTCAGAGGTCATTGTGTCTGCATTAGTGGAAATCATGAACACCAACCTGGATATGATTTACAAGGACATGGTCACCAAAGTACAACAGGTTAGATCAGAGACAATGGTGGGGTTAAAGTAAATAAAAGCCTAATATGCTTACTAATGAAATATGTGTTGCTATATATTATGTTAGGGGGTCCTTTTCTCCCATGGTTGTTTACAGCGAGCAATCTCAGCCTCCTATGCCCAGCTTTTTTGAATGAAAGTAAACATCTTTTCTTTTTTTTTGTATTGAATTAAAATGTTGCTGCTGATGGTAGATGTTTTCTGAGACTGTTGGATTTGACCCCTCAGGTGACTTTCTGCCATTAAGATTCAGTATTTGTACAGCAGCTCAGGAAGCCCATGAACTATGGGCAAGGTGATAAACCTGTACATCCTTATGGTCTTTGATTGCACAAGGGCTTGTGCAAAATGAGAATGAAGAACTGGAAGAAAGATTTGGATGGTTGTGAACAAGCTATTATCATTAGGCCATAGTTGGATATGTAAAAGATGAAATATTACATTGGTTAGATAACACCTTAGGGAAAAACAGATACACGTGTGTGTATATGTAGAGATGAAGAAGAGAAAGAATATGGAAGATTCTGTTTTCTGTTGCTGAGTTCACTGAAGGCAAGAGAGAGGAAGAACAAGCTGGAGACACCAGGGAGTAAGTAAAGAGGTGTCCATGCAGCGCTGTTTCTGTAGTTTTTCTAATGTATCCAGTACTCTGACCCATTTTTTTCAGTCTTATGGTCAGCCCGGAGAGGCATCTTCAGATGCCACTTAGAAATACAATGCTGTAAGTTAGAATAGCATTTCATGACAAAACTGAAGTTAGAGTGCTGTGTCAGATTTGTAGGGCTCTTAGTCCAGCATCAAAAGTAAGGGACTACTTAGTAGAGGAAGGTCTTCAGAGAAGAGAAGGCAGACCCTGTTTGCATGTGTGGATAGTGTAGGATCTAGAACAGTGTCTGCAAACTTTCCATCCTTGAAAGTTACAGAGGATTCTTGTTTGTCTTCTGCCAGTCCAGTGTAACGGACTGAGAAGAGCAATTAAAAGTATTAGTGCATGATTCTGAGAAGTGAAACACAGTGACTCCCTTGCAGGGAGAGTTAAGAAAGGAGGCAATTACAGAGTATGGTTGTGCTGAGGAGTTTTAGTCTGAAAGCCAGCTTTGCTTATTTAGCTCAAAGACACTTCTCCTAAAGCCTTTGCTAGCTTAAGAATTTGAAGACTTGGAAGAAACTGTTTCCTAGGTTATTAATTGAATTATTCTGATCTGTGTTAGCACTGCTGATTTTGTTAAACATTACCAACATATGAGCCTAACTTGCTTATTTTGTCACTGTCACTTTATCTTGCCTTCTGAAAACTTGGATAATCAATCTGAAATGGCTGAATTAAAAATTTCAGGGTACCAAAATAGCCTATCATACTTGTAGGCACAGATGAGAAAAAGCATCATAGTTATAATATGTCCTGAGGTTTTTCTTCCTTCTTTTAAAGGAAATTGCACTTCAGCAAGTAATGTCCCATATTGGCGGTGTGAAAAAGGACATGATTATTTTGGAAAAAAGTGAATTTTCAGCACTTCGTTCAGAAAATGAGGTAAAAAAATCACTATCTTGGAAAGTGCTATTCTATCACTTGCCTGTTTTTTTTCTAATGATGTTAAAAAGTATGTTGTAGCCAAGGGGATGACTGTGGGGCTGAGATGGTTTAGCACCTTCATTAATGACCTTGTCGATGGAGCAAAGTGCACCCTCAGCAAGTCTGCAGATGATACAAAGCTGGGAGCAGTGGCTGACACACCAGGTAGTTGTGCTACTATTCATGGGGATATCAGCAAGCTGGAGAAATGGGATGACAGGAATCTCATGAAGAAATGGAAATGCCCAGTCCTGCCCCTGGGGGGGGAATAGCCTCAGGCACCAGGACATGCTGGGGGTGACCAAATGGAAAGCAGCTTGGCAGGAAAGGCCCTAAGGGTCCTGGTAAACACCAAGTTGACCACGAGCCAGGAATGAGCCCTTGTGGCAAAAGCAGTCAACAGCCTCCTGGGCTGTGTTAGGAGGGCAGCCAGTGGGGACATTGCTAATTTCTGCCTTGTGCTGTTGGTTGGAAGTGCACAGTACTGAGTAAACAGTAAAAATAAACTGTTTATATATCTATACACATGCTGAGGACATAGTCATGCTTGGTTTGCCTGCCTTTTCACATTAGGGATTATAGCCACTGGTACTGATCATGCAAATTCAGTATGATTTCTAGATTATATGGTTTTATATACAGTAATAAAGTGCACATTTTTTTTCCTACTCTTCCAGAAAATAAAACTTGAACTCCAGCAGATAAAGAAGCAAGTCATGGTAAGATAATTAAGAATTAACACCTGTCTAGTTTGCTTGAAAAAATAAAAGGTGTTGCTTTCAAAGTTTTATTTTCAAAGTGGTGCTTAATTGTTGTGATACATAGGATACTGAAATTGCTGTTGATAGTACACTGAGGGCTGCAGCAAAGACAGTTCATGCATACTTCATTTATGGGGACAAGGAACTGTGAGTAGTACAAGGCCTGAAGAAAAATATAACTGAAGGCATTTTTACTTACCTGTCCTTAATTCAGATTCAGAAAGTGGCTGCCATATGATGGTTAAGGCTGAGTGAAGTTCTGCATTTAGGGCTGCCTCTGCATCAACAATGCAACATGCTTTTAAAATTACAGCACTTCCTAATTGTGATTTTCTGAGTGTTGGGGGTTTTTTGGTTTTGTTTTGTTTTCTTTCTCTGAAGACTTACCAGTTAACTGTCCAGAACTTAAAATAGTCTTTAAATGGCCTTTTTAGGCCATTTAGTTGGGACCATTTTGTTTGGTCCCATTTGTTTGGGAGTAAATGACCACTACAAGAAAACAGGCTCTGTGTAGAAAACTTGCTCTGTTAAGTTATACAAGATTCTTATTCTTATCAAGTTTTAAGCGTCAGTGCTGTGTTTCTGTTCTTTATGCTTTGTGTGTCTTGCAGAGCACTCCAAACACACTTCTACCATCAAAACCAATATCCTCTTAAATCTATCATTTCAATTGGTGTGGAGGCATAAGCAGGCTTTACACAGAAACATACATTCTTGAAAGAGTGATTAAGATTGCAAACTGGGAAACATTAACTGTTTGTAGGGAGTACAGACATCTGACCTAACTGCTGTTGGCTGCTGAGATGTCCTTCTTAGTTGAAAGGATGGAGCACTCTTCCTTCCCTAGGATTTTTCCATGAAACTATTGGACTATTGGACTTGTTAAGCTAGCTGACAATGTGGTCAAACTTGGTTTAGTGCCTCCTTACCATTTCTTTCTTATTCTCTTATGTTTCTATTTGCACCCTCATCTCCAAAAGGAAAGCATAAATTTTTCAAGCCTAATCCTGTGTGTTTCACACTGTTACGAAGTGCTTAATGCATCTGGGTTTTCAGAATACCATTTTAAAATGCATTCGGCATCTAATTTTTGAATTGTAACTTATTTTAGAGTTTTAGTTGCATGTAAATGAGCTAGTGTAATCCACTGGTAGAGCATCAAGGATCTGAGTCATCTTTTCTTAAAAGCTAAATGTCTTTAAATTTTACTTTTAACTGTAAATGTAATTCTCACAAGGGCGAGTTGTTTTATGTTTGCTCATACAAAAAGACAATATAGAAGTTCAAGAAAAATTATTTCTAATTTTTTATTTATTAAATTGTAATGTATTCTGTTGCAATGACAACTAATGATAAACCAATTAAAGTTCAAAATTCAAACACAGAAATTGAGTCTAATTATTGTTCATACTAACTTAATCAACTCTTAACTAGTAGACATTGGCCTACTTGAGAAATGCTTATCTAGTTCTAACTAGAATCTCCCAGAACATCAGCAATCTTTTGCTTCTCCCACACATTCATCTGATCGGCAGTTTGCTGCATGACAAACTGGAATTCCTGCCAGGAGGTTGCACTAAAATGGCAGGTGTCACTGAGAAAAGCAGGAATCACTTACAGCTATTGATAAAGTAAAATGCAAGTGTACAACTTATGGTAGTTTTTGAAAGTTAGGTGCTTAAAAATCTGATAAATGTTTCCTGACTTCTAAAATGTCTTTAGCTTTTTCTGAAAGCCCTAGATGTAGTCTAGATGGAAGGTTAGAAACTGCTTTTAAAGTTATTTTGAGCATCAAGATTGCTTCATGGAAGAAATCCAACTTACAGGTGTACCTAGGCATAGGTTTCTAGAAATCAGAGTTAAGGGATACAGGAAACATTCTCTGCAATTATAGTAGGATGTGTTCTCAATGAAGTGCTGTTTTCAGTGTTAAAAGTAATTGTTAGTTTTGATTCTGAGATCCAGCTCATACAATAGAACATCAGTATTTCCCAGGGGAAGATTAGAAATACTTTTGAAAATTATACACACTAATTGGAGAGCTTTATTCATGAGATATGTAAAGTAAGATACAATATGTTTGTCTAATTCTTTCTGTTTATGATTAAACAGAAAATCTTGCTGCTTTATCAATTTTTCCCATTAGGATGAAATTACCAAAGTTCGAGCAGATAACAAGTTAAACCTAAACCTAGAGAAGAGCAGAGTAAAAGAACTGGTAAGTTTTGTTAACTTTCTTCTGGAAGCGTGTCAACACTGAGTAATTTCCAAGTTTGGGTAAGAACATCTCACCCAAGGAGCATTTTCATACTAACCTATAGTATCACTCAGCTTCAAGAGGGTATTAATCTAAGTTATTCATCCTTATGCTGATATAGTGCAAGGTGCCATGTTTAGGTTCATATATCTTATCTATTTTGATATTGTTTTAATATTGGGATTAACACATTACACTTAAATATATTATTTAATTTAACATGCTGACCAGCTACCTAGAGGTTTTCTATTTTATTGGTGGATCTCTAATGCTTAATGAAGTTTACACATTTCTTGAATTTATTATCCTTGAAGATGTTTCATTTCCCTGTATTATTTTTTTTAATTGTAAATGATGCTGGTTCAGATTGTTTTGAGCTTTGAAATATCTGGTAGATCTGAATTGATGTAATCTTAAATTAGGGTAATTTTGATGTAGAATTTAACAAGTTTTTGCATTATCTGTAGCACTTTATTTGGAGTTCTGCTCTCATAGATTTTTTTTTCAGTAGCTTTTAGGATCTCAATGAAATTGCATCATCTAAATTGAAAGAGCTCTTAATGACATTTTTTCTATTAGTATTATTTCTTATTCAGTCCTTTTCCCAGGTGTGTAATGAAGACGTAATATTTATCTCCAATCCTGGCAATAAGAACTGCTCAAGTAGATGTCATTTATCTTCTGTGTATGCCCCTTGACATTTTTCAGTGTGATTAGTTTAGGTAACAGCTGTGTTGGTGATTTACTATAATGACTAACAGCCTGCTAGCTCATGATAGATGCTTGAATAAAGTACAATTTGAGCAGGTAGAATTCTTGTTTAAAGGTTAATACTTCATGCTATTGTTTTTAAAAAAGCATCATATGAAATGTACTCCTTGTATAGATCATAAGCTTTGCAATACTTCAGGCTTACAAAACCTATATAAAACCACAGCACCAGTGATAAATTAGGCACCAATGTTTACTTGTATATTTATGTAGGATCCTGGAATCTGGACTTGTCTATTGTGCAGAATACAACGTTATTTTGACTGCCTCCCAGGAAAAGCCAACTATGCATGTCAACTTTCTCTTAAAAAAGTTAACCAACTTTGTAGTCTGTTGTGCAACTATAATTTCATAGTTTCTATGGAAACTACTCTTCTTTTTTTATACTCCCCCCACTCCCCCACTTTAATGTCGGCTCTACCATGCATGAACAGAAAAGGAAAAAGGCAGATGAATGCTGAGCAGGTTGTAGCATGTACACTGAGTTTTGGGAAGAGATGTAATCCAGTGTTTTCTATAGTAGGCAGAGCATCATTGGTATATTTACTTGAATTGTAATGTGACTAAGGACTGAATATCCAGCTTTCTGAGAATAAAACTCAGGATAATTGAAGGTTACTGTGCATTCTTACTAAGTTACTTTTCAGAAGAGAAAAACACTTTAATTGCTTTAACTTGAAGCACAAAGTAAAATATTCTTATTGTTCAGTTTTATTTGGAATAAGTACTGATAGAGAATCTTACTGTGTCAACACTGATGTGGACAGTCTTTAATGTTTCAAACTCTGAATGCATTATCATTTAATTATACTTTATTTCTCACAGAATCCTACATTACTCAATGCACATCTCTTTATACTGTGATTTACATCTGCAGTGTACAGATGTGATTTAAAAACTTGAAGTACAGTACAAAAATCCATATCTATTCGTGTGTTAATGCATCACTGTGCCTCTAAGCTTGGTGTTAAAAAACTCAAGATGCATCTGACAAAAATGAATTTTCTCTGCACTGTGAAAAATGTGAACTTTAATCTCCCTGTTGAATTTCAGGAGAGGGGGGGCAGTTTAGCCTTGTATTTCCCTCTTTTTTTTTTTTACGCACTGTTGTTGTTACAAATGTGTCGTAATGTCTTCCAGTAAAAGGCCAATTTCACTGTCTTAAACCTAAGATTGAAATCCTTGGGTCTGACCTAGAGAGTTCTAGCCACAAAACAAAACTTTAAAGAAACATCCAGAAAGAAGCTTGTAGAATATAAATTATTCAGAAGATGTGTATTTGGCTAACTGCATCTATTTAAAGTAAAACAGATGAATTATTTCAGTCCATAAAATTATTTTGTCATGGTCCTTTTATCAATGGTCCAATGGTCCTTTTATCAATATGGGGTCCAATTCTTACATTTCTACCTAAACATAATTTTAATTAGATTATTTTATAAATATTCTGCCATCTTGCCACTTTAAAAAATGTAGCTTTATATTAGATGCGTGAATTTCTTTTTTTATCCTCTTTTTCCTTTTGCAGAACCTAGTGACTCTTTCATTAATTGTAGACGTGCTGTTACTTGTCTTTATGTAATTTTCTACATTTGTAGCAGCCTGCTGTCTTTTAACTTCAACTTCAGATCAGTCAAACATCCAAATAGAGCTCTAGATCTTTCATGAGGGTTTTTCAATGCTGAGGCATTTATGTAGATTAATCTGATTTTAATATTAAAACGGAATAAGCTTCCAGAGTGAAGGAAGAATAAGGTGACTTCCATGTGAGAATGTCAACAGATGAGGTTATTGCTGTGTAACTGAGGATTCTGAGATGGGTGCCTGATGACCTTAATACTCTGTGCCATTTACTGGCAGTTTAGCAACTGTCTATGAATAATTTAATTGCTCCAGTAGTGGGACAGGAACCATTATAGATGTCAAGGTAAATCATGCCTTTTCATGAGTCAGAAAGGTAGCCTGCTTTAAAGGTGTGCTTCTTTAATTTGGGTTTAACTTTCCTTGAACCCAATAGCTGTAACTTAAAAATAAGCCACCACTTCTGAGGATCCACAAATGAATGGCTTAACATGCGATACAAATGTTCTGGTTTTATCATTAAATGATGGTCAGAACAACTCAAATGGTGGGTTATACAGTACTGGCTAAACATTTCTTTGATAACTGAGTTTGATATGATATTTTAAAACTGTTCTCCCTTCCTGAAGGAAGTAGGTGGTTCACTCTTAGTTGTGCTTTTATGCTCAGTGGATTAGTTAACTGTTCCAGAGTTACTGTTTAGAATCATAGGCCCTTGTTTTTCAGTACTGCAAATCTGCCAACCTGTCTTCCAGCTGCTCACTAATATGTAGTTTTTGCAGAAAATGAGTGTCTGATGAACTTGTTGCACTTTACATTTCAGAGGTGTGGATGAACACCAGTCTGAATTGTGCTTTCCAAAAGGACAGCAGTTATCCTACAATGCTGTCTCCCAAGTGTTGTCAGTCAATCATCTTGTCCAGATTATGTGTTCTGCATAATTTGGAAACAAATAAACATACTTTTAAGTGGAAAAAAAGGGGAGGAAAGTTTAAGGACGGTATCATGTTTAACTTTTTTTTCCCCCCCTCTAGTACTCGCTTAATGAAAGAAAACTACTTGAAATGAGGACAGAAATAGTGGAATTGGTAAGAACTTGATAGCTGATTATTACGCAGCAAATCTTTTTGTACTTGTGTTATAGACCTGGTATTCTTTTTGGACTTGTTCATGTCTTTAAGCACTTTAATGTAAATGCCTACAGAATAAAAAGGCTTCCATATATATTATTAGACCTTCTGCGTGTATATATGAACTATCCAGTGGTCACTTTGTCTTGAAACTTGATCCATGTCATATTTTCTGTAGATGAGATTCTACTCTTAATGTGAAATTAATTCTTCCCCCCACATTCAGTGAGAAACTTATTGCTAGATTGATTTGTCTTCATTTTAGAGGAAGTTTTTACCAAGCACTACTACTTCCTTTTGTTTCCTTTCTGTCGTATAGGGAATTATATCTGGGATTATGTCTAGCAGTAAATCATAAACTGATTCACAATGTTTCAGTAGTGCTGATTTGAAAATATCAGCAGCTCAGCAGCTGTTGTTCTCAGTTTACAAGTTGGATTTTTCAGTCTCTTCTGAGTAATAATTCTATACCATATTTTTTAACAGAAGTCCTGTCTTCTGTCACAATCAGATTCTGAATTTGGAGCTGTATTTGTGGTAGAATTCATTACAAGATGAAGAAATGCTTTTCTACAACAGAAGACCAATTCTCAGTTTTTCTAATGATCCATAAATCCTTATGCTCTGGTATGATTTTGTCACAAGAGGCTCTTTGACTTCTCAATAGCTCTTAAAATTCAGCAGTGACTTTAGTATCAGTGGGCCGAGCAACAGATTGAAGTTAATGTTTATGCTGTTAGATTGAGATAAGAAGGCATCCAGTTCTGCCAGTTTTTAGATTATGTGTTAAGGAACATGTAATCACAAATTTCCCAAGTTCACCAAATTATTCAATTCCTTGGATATAATCAGCTAAGAAGGAACTTACTCTCTTTGAATGCAAATTAACGTGCATTTAAGGAGAAAGCAAAAATACAACTTGAAGAGATGGGTTGAATTTCTAAATAAACTGGAAAGTGATAAAATTACATCATTTTTTTGCTTTGTTTTTTAGCATGCACAGCAAGATCGGGCTCTCACCCAAACAGACAGAAAAATAGACACAGAAGTTGCAGATCTGAAAACAATGCTCGAATCACACAAACTTGATAATATTAAGTACCTAGCAGGTAAGGAATCTGATGGTCTCTGAGGGTGAAACTGTTAAACATTGTGAAATATTTGGCAAACTCTTGATGAGCTGTATTCATAAAGGCCCCAATTTAAAAAAAATAAAAATACTTGAAATAGTCTCAGGCAAGATAAGCAAGATTTGTGTACTTAACCCAAAGTTTCCTATGATTTCCAACTTTATTTTGCATGGGTTTTTTTCTGGGTTTTGCCCTGCTTTATACTGTAATAATAATGTGTATGAGAAATCTAAAAGGCTGCATGTTAACAAGGACCAAAAAGTTCTTCGGTGCCTGACTTAATTTATAAAAGCAGCCTGCTGTGTGCATTACTAGGATTTCTTCATCCATCTGATGAAGATCTATGTGCAAAATGGAACATTTCAGCTTTTCTGACTGTTCAGCTCTGCATATTCTTTAAATTTTGCTTTTTACATATGTCTTGAAGAAAATACTGTATGTGTGTGTGTGCCTGCATTATGGCCTGAGGTAACTTTAATATGTTGACATTTTGCTACTGAGTATGCATTACTGTTAAATGAGTAGAAAATTATTCTTCTGATTTAGATATTCTGATTATTCTTTCACAATGGGTTTTGTCACAAGTAAAATCACTTAAGCCTATTCATAGTACTGTATTTGTGACATACCTTTTAGAGAGAACCAATAAAATGGAAAATAAAAGATGCTTTATTAAAATGAGAAGAAATTCTTTTCCTTACCATTCCTACTCATAAACATGTTGAAATCTACATGGAAGAAAAAGTAATTAAAAATCATTTGTATTGTGTTTGAAGTGCTCCTATTGCAAACAATGGCAAAAATCTTTTGTGTGTATATCTAGGAATCAAAAGTTGATTTCATTTAAATAGAAATTTTAAAAGTTGAAAGCTGATATCCCTCATTAAAGATGGCTTTCATTTATTTGTTTACTGAATACTTGACCGCGATTTATTAATCTTGTTATTTATATCCTCATTTTACATCTGTAGCTTGCCATATTGATTTTTTTTGAATGGTAAGCAAGTAAGGGTTTCTTTCAGCCTTTCAAGAGTTTTCCAGCCCAGTTTATCTGCATTCTTTTTTTTTTTCTTCCTTCCTTCCTTCCTTCCTTCTTATTTGTTGTTTTTATACTCCTCCTACCTTGAAATTGTTTGTTGCAAACCAAAATCCTTATTTTCTCGCATGGGGAAGGGGTGGTGGTTACACTTTTAGTTTTGTAGTAAGACACGTAGCTTTCTGAAGAGATGTTCTGAGAGCTAATAATTTAATGTCAATGTTAATGCCATTTTCCTCCCCATTTTTATTTTCTTTCAGGTTCAGTATTTACATGCCTTACTGTAGCACTGGGATTTTACCGCTTATGGATATAACAAGACGTGAATTTAAAGGGACTTCTACTGTCTTGGTTTCTGAAGAAAAAAAAAGAAGATTTTAATCTTTGCCTGGATTTTAACCAAGTCTTGACTGTTTTATTTATTATTTTATAAAGCAGACTGTACTGAGAATGTAACCAAAGATGTGCCTAGAAACAAACTGTTCACATATCATGTGTATGCTGAACATTACCTCTGACAACAGCACTTCTGCCGTTTCCCTCTGTTCTGAGCTGCAGTGCACCTTGCCACTGCCAAGTGTCATACAGAAGCAAAAACTGGCACTCATGCCAATCGGATGGGCCTGTAAGCTGTAGAGAAGAACCAATAGAATTATGTTCCATTGCCTCTTTGGACAAGCTTGCCAGAGTCAGTTGCATGTGTTGGACTGAAGTATTGGTTGTTAATGTAAAACTGAAACTACATGTTTTGTGGCTTGGAGGCACTGTTGTATAACTAGAGTTTGTGCTAACTGAATCATGCTCACTTCCCTCCTGCTAACACTTGTTCATACAGTTACTATGATCAGATATTTGTTTTGCTATTTTTATAACATAGCTATCAGCTTGTTTTCCAGATGGCTACCCAATCACTCGTGTTTCATTAACGAGTACTGTGTAATGATAGCAGTGTTTGCTGCTGGTTTTGTTTGTAAGATATTTGTAGAGATTTTTGTGACTAACTTGCCTTTGGTACATGTAAGTATCAGATACTCATTCCATATGCTCATTGCTAACCTTACCACTATAACTGGAAGTTTGAAATGCAGTAAAATACACTAGTTGTGTTAATTTGTGTTTAAGTGATACAAAGTGTCTCTGGTGCTGCCTTCTTGGGGAAAGGAAATTGATGTTTCTAGAAAGGAAAGAGATTTTAAATAGTTATGAAGCAGGGTCTTTGCAAGAAAACTGCAGTACCAACAGACTCCTGGGGTTTTTATTGCTTTATTTTTAAAAAAATCATGTTGATTGTTCAAATGTGGAACCTTGATAGTGATTATAATACTAAAAGCAGTAATGGACAGCTGTAAGATGTTTAATCCAGTTCTGAACAAGCCCACCTGAACCAGATATCTATCATTCTTCCACTGACGAAGTGACTGCTTTAGTAGCAGAGCTGCCATCCGTGTTCCTTCAGTTAAGGGAAATTTCCCTTTCCTGCTTGCTTTTAGGAGGGGAAATCAGTTTATGCACTGGTGATAAATGCTATTAGAGCACAATCACGGCTTTGCTTAATGAAAGTAAAGCTTTTTGGCTACTTTGTGCCTGTACTGTAATAATCATTTAACTTTTTTTGTGGTTGGGAGTGCCAAACTTTGATCATGTACAAGCATGGAGGAAAAGATGGATGCCTGTAAAAATACTGGCCTGAAATAAAGAATTTTGAATATTTCATAAAACATGAGTTTTCATTATAAATGCAGCTTTTTAATTTGAAATTAATCTCTTTGGTGGGACCCCTGTTGGCCTAGTGGTTAGCATGCAGGACTCTCACCGCTGCGACCCAGGTTCGATTCCTCGGTCCCCCCGGGCAGATGGAGCCCGTTAGCCCTGTGAGGCCATCCATCTATGAGAAGGTCACTCTAAACAAACCTACGTCCTGAGGACCTCACTGCCATTGTCCAAGCTCGCTTGGCCCCGGCAGATGAACCTTAGGATTAAAGGGTGGGCTCAGTTCAGCGCATGCTGTGTCTCACCTAAAAAATCCATTGCGCAGGCTGGAAAGGTAAAAGACCTTTCCCAAAATCTTCGTTTGCGAAGACTGGCCATTATTATTATTATTATTATTATTAATCTCTTTGGTTGAAGGTAAGTCACTGCTAATAGCACATCTTTTAAGTTAGGAATTTGCAAAGTCAACAGCCCCTCCAAGATATTGAAGAGGAATAACATAAGGAAAACCGTTAATGCAGACTAACTTAACAGCCCCTCTAAATTAATGAATCTTTATTCAAGAACTTCAGTTTTTTGTTTAAAAAATATTTTTTGCACTAACTTACAGGATTTGACACTTTATCCAGTTAAGACAAGCGATAATTCAATTTTTGGAATGACTTTGCTGTTGGTCTTAACTTCCCAAGGCAGGTGATTCTGTATATCTCTATGTAATCAGTACGTGTTTGCTTGTTGGCCTGAGCATCTGACAAATAACTGTTTAAGACTAATTTTAAATATAGGGTCTATCTTGCTAAAAACAGATACTGTGCAAGTATATTTCTATTTTGGGCAGGTGGAAAGAGGAAGTGAAAGATTATAGAGAAGTGTTGTCTTGGAATTAGAAAAGTGTCAGCAAACCAGCACTTGGTGAGTGTTTTTAAGCAAGGAATAAAGTTAATGTGTCCTTCGGGAAAAATACACTATAAAGAGAACATAATTATTATCCCCTAGCCCATAAAGTCAAGTGTCGTGTAAAAGTTTGTTACTCCTGTGTGCAGAGACACAAAATCTCCCATTTCCTCTGTCTTTCTAACACAGTCTCATCATATGTACCACATGTATTTATTGGCATTCCAGAAATTCAGAAAATCGTCCATATATTTTGAAACACAAATCTGACAGATATAAACTCTAGGAATGAGTCTTTTGGAACAGGTGAGAATCTATTATATCAGGATGTGCTACTAAATATTAAATCACAGAGTGATTTGAATTGGCAGGGACCTCAAAGACCATCTTGTTCCAACCCCCCTGCCATGGGCAGGAACACCTTCCGCTGGACAGGTTGCTCAAAGCCCCATCCAACCTGGCCTTGAACACTTCCAGGGATGGGGCATCCACTGCTTCTCTGGTGCCTCCCCACCCTCACAATAAAGAATTTCTTCCCAATACCTGAACTGACCCTTGCTCATTTAAAGCCATTCCCCTTTGTCCTGTCACTACATGCTCCTGTAAAAAGTACCTCTCCAGCATTCTTGCAGCCCCTTTAGGTACTGGAAGGCTGCTCTAAGGTCTCCCTGGAGCCATCTCCAGGCTGAACAACCCCAACTCTCTTAGCCTGTGTTCATAGGAGAGGTGGCCCTGCCCTCTGATCATCCTTGTGGTCTTCTGGACCTGCTGGACCAGGCCTATGTCCATCATATGCTGGGATGCCAGAGCTGGATGCAGTTGAGGTGGGATGTCATCAGAGCAGAGTAGAGAGGCAGAATCACCTTCCTCGACCTGCTGGCCATGCTGCTTTTGATGTAACCCAGGATACAGTTGGCTTTCTGGGCTAGAAGTGCATGTCTCTTGAAAAGCAACAGTTGAGTGTGAAACGATCACTAAATTCATAAACGGGAGACCTAAGTTGGCAATTCTCCCAATTTGTTTCTGTAAGTCTCTTCTCTGTATTGATGCTGTATATTGTTTCTAATTGGAATCAGTAGCAACTCTGAATGTAGAGAGATACTTTTCAGTTCTCTGACTTTGTAGTTTGATTTTTAATTTGCAGAGCTCTTTCGAAACATGCAAGCGAAAAATAAATTAGACTGTTTTACCATAAAACTGTTTCAGCTGTGAAAATCTGCAGTAGCTCCCCATTGACTCAGAAATGTATCTGTTCATTTCCTGCCTGGCAGGAAATAAAGGATAAAAGGAAAAAAATTAAAATTGTTAGATCTCTCAGCTCTCTAAGTCAATTTGCAATCTAAGGATGAGCTCCATCCCTAACTTTCTTTCAGGAAAAGCCCATTTCTATTGAGAGCATGTAAGAGTAACAGTCTGTCTACACTAACACTAGTTGGGAGGTTTTCTTGTGAATTTCCCCATTCACACAGCAAAGACAGGAGGTTCTTTAAGGATTTGTCTCCTTTTGGTGAAGGAAATTTAGAATAATTCCTAAGTTGCTCCAAAACTTCTTTGTGTTTTGCAGAAATCCAAATCGAGATCCAGAGTTCTTACAAAACTGTGTTTACTTGTTATATATTATTGGGAGTATCCCGAGTTTAACTGCTTGTCTATCTTGCTTTTCCTCTTGTTTTCAGCAAAAATCCGTAAAGGAGCAGTCTCCCCTACACTGGTATGCATTAGCTAAATTGTTTGCTTCAAGTATGTTATTGCTGTTAAATCACATGCTATCTAGCCCCTTCTCATTGGAAGTGTTGATTGCATCATTCATTTCCCAGAATGTTGTCGAGTTGCACTTAAAACCACAAGTTGACAAATGGAAACGTATTTTTAATGCAGGTACAAAATCTGCTTCAATTTTACTAACCACAAATGTTTTGGTTTACTAGAATAAGCCTTCTCCTACTTGTGAATGTTCACTTAACTGACCTCTCCAAAAATGGTGAAATTCTAGCTCTGTGCAGCTATTAACAGTTCCTATTGACTTTGGAGAAGCCTGGCTTGTTTTTACCTTGAAGATGTTTTGAGTCATACTGCTTCAGTGAACTGTTCTTTTCTTACTTTTGCTACCATCTGCAGACCTCACACAGAAAAACCAGTGAAGTTTTTCTTGTGGTTTGGTTCTTTGGAGTTTTTAATCAGCAAAGTTAGGTAAATTCCTATAACTAGTTCCTTTGAACTACTGGAAGATGTGAGCAGTTTTGCATCTCTCACTGAGTTTTCAGAAAACGAATAAACTACCTTTGTCATGATTTCTAAAAATTATCAAAATTACAAGATAATTTAATATTTAACAAAACTGCTATATAAAGTCTCTCTTCATGGAATAAGCACACAGTAAAATTATATTTTTAATGTTTTAATATATTATTTATTGGTTTGAAAATTATGTTTTCTTTTTAATTGTTTTTCCTTTAGTTATATGAATCTTGAACTTTTAGGGCTTCTTTTTGTTGGGGTTTTTGTTGTTCTTAGGGTTTTTTTTAAATTTTAGAATAAAGCTGTCTGTATAAGCAATTTATTTCCTTTAGTGTCTAGATAGAAAGTTCATTTACAATCAAATATGTGCCTGGAATATTGGGGATTGCTTCAATCAGAAACAAATACGCACACCCTTGGAGTTAGATGGCCTGCTGTGTCTTTGTTAGGAAAGCTTCCTTTGGCTTAAAACATATTTTTTACCCTATTTCCAAATATTTTAAAGCAGTAGTGTTTATTCTTTATTTTACACTTAAATTCTATGTCAGAGCAATTGCCTCTCTCTTATCCTCAACATGGGGTTTTGTAACTACAGCAAGGAAGATAGCCAGTGCTTGTATAGTGTTTCT